AAAAACCCGTGTTATAACCCCCCCCCCCCCCCCCCCCCAAAAGAATAATACAACTGAATGCATCTATAAATCTAACTGAATTAAAAGAAAAAAAAAAGAAACGGATCCATTTGTGGTGAATACTAAAATGCAGTGAATATTATTTTTGTGTAGCTAATGAGCTTTATCACATGCTCTCTAGAATACTTGATTCCGATTGGTCAGTCAAGGCATTTTGAGGTCAAATACTAGAGAATAATGACCGATAAACTGCATAATTGCCTGTTGTTCCTGACAACAGATTTCTTCTCACATAACTCACATATTAAATATTCATTTTTTTATTTATTTGTTAAGGAGTAGTGTAATGAATGGGATAGAGTACAGTTAGCTGAATAAAAGTAATATATTTGACAACAACTGTCTGGGTTTATTTTGCAATAATGCCCAGCTAAATCCTTGCATAATGTATAATATAACATATAAATGTGATGTAATTGATAAAACAGTTGTAAAATTTGATTTAAAGAGACATGGTTATCAAAATGTCTCGCTGCCAACATTGGGATTTTTTTTTTTTTAGCAAAAAGTTAAATGATCTATTCATTAAAGAATAAAAAAAATGATAACCTCAAATCAAGAAAAAAGCTGATAAAGCTTTCATTCATACAGCTACTTAATTCAGCCTATGCCATATCTCCGGCTCTTCTATCTCTCTAGTCAAGTATTCTCATCTGTGCATGTACAGTATTTCTCATCTTAGTATGAGTGAGGCTTTATCATTCAGATAATGTTAAACTTGCCGGCTCTTTGTGGAATATTCAACAGTAGTGCTCTAGTAGTGATGGTCTGTTCCATATTTGTTGTAAGTGCGCATGTGATTGTGTGTGCATGTGAGTGAATAACGGATACTTGCTATGCGAGAAGTCATTAGTGCAGTCATTACACTGTCCGTTAAATGTGCTCTCATGGGCCAGACCTTTAGAGCATGCAGCATCATTACCATTAGTAAATACAGTGCATTAGTGGGTGACCTTCAGTATAATGCTGAAAATGCTGCAATTTATTCTTTTTTTTTTTTCTGTGTGTGTGAGAGAGTAAACGAGTACGTAGTTGGGAATATATTTGCAACAATCTTCAAAAGCTGCCAAAAAAAAAAAAAAAAAAAATCACGGAAGAGATTCGGCAGCGGTTCGAGTCTGACAAGTTTTTTTTTCTTTTGAGGTAGGCGAGGGAAGAAAGGGGAAAGGAACAAATAGAGGTTTTACTGCAGCTACTGCGAACTGTCAGTCCGTGCTGTCCCCATTTTAGGGTAAGTGCTCTAAAATCCGTTTCTTTCACTTTAAAGGCTTATTTAAACACAAAACTTTGCAGTTTTGAAAATGTGAGAGCTTTCGTAGAGTGTCAACGCCACGTTTTGGGAACACCCTTCGACCATCCTCAGCCAGCTGGATCTGAAGACATCTGCCGTTTTCGCACACAGTTAAAGCGTCTTTATTGTGAATATACGGAGCTATATACAGATAAATACACTTCTGTGGTTTGACGCGTTGTTAATGGCGACGATTTATTACGAGTGCACGCGCGAACAATGACAACGTCCTTGATGAAAATCTTATGCGGCTGTTTGTATTGCATTGCTATTTTAAACTTCTTAATCTTAAATTGAGTATAATCTTTTAAGATCTTGCTGATTGTGTATTTTTACCCCAGTTCCCACTTTTCAACAAGCTGCTTGGTCCAAATTCATATTAAGCACACGGGAGTTCAATCAAACGGTTAATCCCTCCTTATATGAAGAAACAAGGGAGAACTGTTAGTTTCAAATGAAATAAAGCCAAGCAAGAGAAGAAAAAGCGATAGATGAACACACAAACTCAAGAGCATTCCCGCAGGCCCAATGCCGCAAACCACCCGCTCACACTTGAGTTACTCACATATTCCGTGGACTCTTCAATTTTCCACTGATGGAAAACACATGACAGATGAGAGGTAGAAAATGAATCAGAGATGGCACTACTGGGGAGAAAAAAAAGCATCGCTACCTTTTTTTTCTCTCATCTACAGATGAACACATAGCGTTAACAGTGACATGCAACAGAGACAGAGGAGAAGGGTGGAGGAGGAGAGATGACAATATTTCACATTCGACACAGTGCTGCATAATGTCAGGTAAAAGGAGCAGCGGTATACTGCTAACAAAGGCAAGGTGCTTCATTCCGTCGCTCTGTGGGAGAAAGAAATGACAACTATTGCACCACTTACACCTGGTGCAGGAACGTTTTAGTCTCAGCATGGTTGCAAACATTGCAATTCACAGATACTTACCTGGGCTGAATTCATAATAAACCTGATAAGTGAACTCCAAAAGACATACAGAAATATTGTACATTCCAAAACATTTACCACATATGCACTGCCTGGTTACATGAGTATAATTTAAGAAATTTTGTCACAATTTTATGCATGGATGCACAAAATATTGGTACCAAATGAGTTATTTTAATTTGTAATTGTTTGTTTTTAATTTATTTAGACAAATTAGGATTGAGATTTAGTATTTGCAAGTTATTGGCCATAAGAAAAGATCTTCTCAAAACTGACCAGATTTTTTATATTGTACATGACTAATTTGACCACATTTTGCCCCTACTGGCAGATACTGATATAAAAACTTTTTTCGTTAACTGTAAGTGAAACTCATTGGGATTGAAAGCCTTTTTCTCGTTGCGAATCTCCTGGTGGTGTATAGCATGAAATCCCATTACCCCCATCGCACTGCCAGCTTGGTGACATCAAACTTTACTGACACTGAGCACCCAAAACCGCTGCTTTTTCTTACCCACCCTCAACAAAAGGCGCTCACACATGTATGAAATCTTCCCTGGACCGAGAAGCCAGCATGGAGCCAACTCAACCGGAGTTGATATTCCTTTTCGAAAAGAAAGAGGAAATTGCTCTTTTCTAACCGAGAATCTGCAAAGTGCAGTGAAGCACGGCACAATATCAGTGTGCGGACCCCCACGCTGTAATTTTCTATATTAGATCATTCTGCAAACATTCATCCATATCCTATAATTGCTTCTCATGATGGAGCTGATGTACATCTGTGTGTATATTGCATAACAGTACCATTAGCAGACTAGATGGAGGCCAATATTTCAGTCTGTTTCCCTAACACACTGCTTCCCACACACAGACCTCATGCTGCCGATCCTATAGGATGTGTGGCGCCTTGTTAGCCTGCTGGCTACTCAGAGGTGGGAGCCTCATGGATGGTTTTAAAAGCCCCTGACAGCACAAGAGAAACAAGTAGCGTCGCCCAGAGCATGCCTTCCTAAAAGTCTGGTAACAATGACTTTATCCAGGGCATGGCTGCCTGGAGGCCCAAGCACCCATCATTACCTTTCACGGCGAGGAGCTGAAGTCATGCTGATAAGTTGAGTGGAAAGCTTAGAGGCTGAAACATTGATCAGATATAATGGGCCGGAGAGCGCTTCTAACCCTTCAGGTCTGCATTAAGAGCTGTACTTCAATCATTTAGTCATCGCTGTTTCACTGCATTCACTTCCTCCTCAATGGACTCCTTCTAAACCGCTGCTTTTAACTCTCCTATTAATCGTGCACAGTGCTACAGCAACATACACTTAGCACATACGCAACGGCATCCAAAACGGCCACCGTTCCTTCAAGCCGATCTACACTCAATCATCAACAAAACCCACCACAACACAGACACACATACGCTTAAATAAACACAAACAACCTTTTTAAACTCAAGTTAATGAGACATTTTTTCTGCTTATCTGCTTTCTTAATGGGTTGTTGTTTCCACACGGAACTTTAGCCTCTGTTAAACGTACAGGCCTTTGCTTTCACAAAATTATCTCCTCAGAATCATTCCCTTTGCATGCAAGATGAATAAATTAGCCTAGTTTATTAAAAGGCTTCAGAGAGCAGAAAAACCAGGTCAGAACTGACAGGAATCTTCAGCTGGAGCCAAATGCGGCAATTTTCAGACAGGATATTAAAATAGTGATGGAAGTCTGTGTTTGTCAGATAGAGGCTGTTGAAGAACAAGAGATGAAAGGGGAAGATGGTGCTGATATTAATCTGGGGAAATAAAGGGCTCTCCTCTCTCTCCTTCATCTGGCACTGGGGCCACCGAGGCCAGAGTGATTCCCTCAGAGTTGGTGCTCTGTGTGTCTCATATTCACGTTCATCCATAAAGCAGATGCTCTCTTAGAGTCTTAAAGAGGCATTTACGTGACAGCAATTTGCAGTAACAAAGCGACCAGAAGTCATTTCCTCTTAAAGAGAGTTGATTTGAGGCAGTATGAGTGACACAACTGTTGGCAACATGACAGTTTATGCAAATGTGCCTTATGCGAATGCACAGTGATGGGATGTAGCAACCACCAATGGTAATGTAGACAAGTGAAACTAGTGGTACACATACCTACTACCAACTCACAACCCCAATTAAAAACCCCTGGACCAACTAATCAAGGTCTTAAGGCATACTAGAAACTTCCAGGCAAGTGAGTTAAAGCAGTTTGGAGCTGAACTAGAACATTGGCCCTCACAAAGCAGCTTTGGATACCCTTGACCTAATGACAGGATGGTCGTAGTTTATCTATCCAGTGTTATTGGGTTCAAGCCTTCCATGTTTTGGGTACCAGCTCTGGTCCTTCCCTACTAAAAGCCGCACCACCCACAGTTCAGATCTCTCACTACATCTGTCATTTGCTCGTTGCCTCTTCTATCCTACACTCACAACTAATGCAACACGATCCTAACCAAACAGCACAGAAGAGTGACAGCTGTAATTGTAAGGGGACTCTCATACAGATTTATTGGAAATTCTTCATGGAAAGGTTGACAGGCTTTTTTAACGGCCACTTGCTCTGCTCTCGTGGCACACTGGAATGGATCAATTAACTCAATCTCTCAGTTAAATTTAGACCCAGAATGAGGGTGGTGGTGTGTGGGTTCCCAGTTTGGCCTTTTTTGAAAAGAAAATGCATTTATCCCACCCACGGACAAACAAGTGCTCACTGGTTTCCTGGCTTTTCAGCTGAGGCCAGGGAGCCAGATGAGAGAGAGGTTTCTCATGTTGCTCTGAGTGAGACAAATGGATGGTTCAAATTATGACAATGTCTCGATACAAACAAAGCAAAATCAATAGTATAGCAGTGCACACCTTTTATGAAAATGTAATATCTTAGGCAGGCTATTAGTAAATCTAAATCAACAGTCAAATAGTTATTTAAACATTTTTAAAGTAGTTTAGTAGGTAATGCAGCCTTATGCCAGACTTTGCAAATCATTTATTTAGTCCACTTAAACCCCTCCTCACACTTAGATTGCATTGCCTCCATCCATTCAACAACTAATGGGTAGAATCAAGTCCATGCCCTACATCTAAATATTTTCAATAATTCTTTCACTTAGCTGCATGTCACATTATGGGAGAATTTCCATTTTATCATGAATTTTAGAATTATAGTTAACAGCAACAGTTTATGTAACCAAAATAAATGGCAACAACAACAAATAGGATAATTACTTTTTTTTTTTAAATGTTGGAATACTTGAGGGAGATGCATGAGGATCCTCAAAAAAGCCTCCTCAAAAGTGGCAGTCATGTTTCAGTCCAGTTCCAAAAATCTATCACATTATAAAATAAAATGTGTATGTGTTGTTTGATGTTGACATGTTAGGGGAAAAAATGAAACCATGTTTTGAAACAAGACAAATTAGAGTTGCAAATTATAATTAGTTAGTCTGTAACTCTTGTGTTAATGTTAATTTGTAGCTTAGGTATTAGGGTTTGGATTGGTTCAGTAATGCATACTAAAAGCAAATGAAAAACATTACACATGCTCCTGCTCTCCTTCGAGATGTTTTAGGAGCCCATCCATGCAGAAGCCCATGCTCTTAGAGCCAGAGTGTCTCTGAAGGTGGTAGAGAAACAGTGCATATTAAAAATGAACAACTGGCAACCCCCAGAAGAACAAAAATGGATGTCTTGAGGAATCCGGGTCTTTTTGTCAAGACAAAAAGCACTACAAGCCATTTATCAAAGCAACTCTGCAACCACCCTGCCAAACCATTAGTGTTACACAATACACAATGGATTTTCATCACTTCTCCGACATGTTTTCTCCCTTCTTCACTAGCTCTCGCTGGCCAATTACATCCCAGAGAGCAAAGCAACAACACATTCTCTTTTTTTTCTAAGGGCCAAAGAATGAAGAAAGATGTAGACATAAATGTAACCGGAGTCTTATGATACATCTTCAATGTCTGAGAGAAAATAGAGAAACAAGGTGAAAATAAACAGGCTTGTATGGATCATTGTGTCTGAGGAACCTGATATTTACAAATACATCTCAGCAAGTCTTGCAAGTGTTTTCATGTTTTTTTCTATGACAATGACGGCGAATGGTTCATGTCCTGAGACAAAACATCACAGTTCGTGGTAAATGACTCAACAACGCTTCAGATGTCATGGCGTATGAAGGGAATGTTGTTTGCAAAAGAGGGAGAGGCAAGTGCAGGTGCCCTTGGGTTGTGAGAGCAAAGAGGTCGACAGCAGTTCACCTGACAGATACTGTAAACAAAACCTGTCTAATGTTTTTTATTTGTCACCGATGGAAACTAGATGAAAAAATGTTGAAAAACTCACAACAAATGTGTCTTGTATGCAGTCAAAAACATTTAGAACTGCTGACCTTGTGACATTAAACAAAGTTTACAAGTTATGACTTATATATGGAGGTGGAGGTGTTGGACTAGAGGCGCTGGACAGGCAAAACATCAACTGCACCACAAACAAGAGTGGCGAAGGTCACAAAGACAACTTCAAGCTCTGAGCCAGGGATTTTATAGAATATATCATATAAAGATGCACTGATATCCCTATTTTAGCCCTAAACATGCATCATCATTGTATGTAATCAAGAAGGTGCGATCTGAACAACTCATATCGGTCCAATAATCACAAGAGCAATACTAATAACCAATATGGTACCAATATATGCATCCCTAATATGACAGAAGAGAAAACTTGCCAGTTCTAAGAGGTGGACTGAGCGCTGATGCGTAAGTTAATACATTTGCATTTTACATGCACTCCTTCACTTGGCTATGTACTTATGCAAATGAGAAATAATCTTCTCGATGCACCAGAAAACCCCCGTCACCTGCCCATTTACTAAAAACCATTAAAGCCCACAGTGGTCCATAAACGTCTCTTGTTACAGTCTTACAAGTCTAGCTCAGTGAGGGGAAATGCTAACACTGGTAAATGAGAAACTTTTGTTTGGGGGCAGGGAAAGTGCAGAAAAACACGTCTATGCAAGTTAATTCTCAGCTAACAATTCAGAGCAGAAGCATTTAAATGCCCCCAGTCTGATTCTCTCTATTCCCGAAAAGTGTCTACTTTAAGATATTCATGGATATCTAAATCCCTCCTAAGGATTACTATCTTTCTTCCATCTCAGTGCACCCACGTTTCTTCAGGCAGTTTTAAATCTCCTTATATTAACGCAACATGAGCGAAACAGAAACAGAAAAAAATTACAGAGTAACAAGGCAGTGCATATGTATTAGTGTTACAAAGAGCTGAATTCTTGAAAGGCCACCAATAGCGTGTGCCTATGAAATATTTAACAATTTACATAACATTGAAGACTCCGAAAAAGTGTTTATGTAGACGTGTAGACATCTATCTTGAAAATTCATAAGACAGACAAAGTTTCTGTTCCAAACCCTGATTTGCCTTACCAAGACAGCATTTTTTAGGCATTATAGACATGCTAACCAACCCAAAAGCTGTTTAAAATAGACAGACATTTATGCTGCCAAAAACCAAGCAGTGTTGCTAAACTATTAAACATTTTTTTTTTTATTTAAAAACAGCTGAAATAAAATATAATTGAATATAATAATTGAATTGATTATTGAAATGAATTAAGTAATGATAATTTTTAAACAAAAAATAAAATAAATTAATTAATAGTATTTCACCCAACATTTGTGTGCTTACTGCAGTGGATCAATAGTTTAGCAACATGCTAACGCCAAACTCCATGCTAATCAGCTGTGAGGTTTAGTTGAGTCTCTTGAGTGCTTTATATGAGGAGCACTATGTTTGTGGCACCCATGTAAAGCTTTTCAATAAGTCAATTAAAAGGTCCGATTTCAGTTAGGATGCTATCTCTGAAGGCAGTCGCCTACTTAAGACGGTGAGGAAGCTGACTAGGGTGTGGAACAGAGTCCAACTGAGCAATAACAATGGCAACCAACTCACTGTACAAACAGTCAAGTACTACAATAAAAAATTTGCAGGTAGTACCTGTGCTTCTGGCAGAGCAACATCCAATATATTTGGCTGGCTACGTGGCTCTCCGTTCTCCAGGCGGGAGTATATGACCTGGTATCCCCGTATCTGGCCGTGCTGCTTCCCAGAAAGAGGCGGCTTCCATGTCACACGAATAGCTGTGGAGTTCACAGGCTCTACTTCAACTTTCCGAGGTGGGGCTCCAGGCACTAAAGGGGGACAATTAGATTTAAACTTCAGGATGGAGGCTTTTAGGGTAGCTTGAGATAAAACACTCTAATAAATGCTAATGATTTGTGGTTTGGCTGAGGAGAGGTATTTGTTTTACAATATTTGTTGGTTAAAGAACATGCTGGGAAAAAAGCTAATGTGGCTTCAGTAAGAAGATTATTCACAATAATTCAAGGATGCAGAAGACTGCAAAAAAAACTTCTAGAACTGCTAAAAGACTAGGAGGTGATGAAGGACAATTGATGTTCTGATAAGGATGTGCTGAAATTCTGCTCAGCTGACATGATTTAGATGAATGAATTTACTGATTGTGAGTATGACATAAAAAAAGCTGACTAGATGGGGGAAACTTATGATACTATTTCTAGGGAAGTAGATGAGACCCTGAGACCAAGGTACGGACAAACAGGGCTAAGATGGGAGAGGAGGAGAATGAGAGGAATAAAGAATGAGAAATAATTTTTTGAGATAGAGAGACATTTGAGGAAAAGGGACAAAGGGAATGAGATTAATGAAGAACCAAGATACATTACCAGTCAAAAGTTTGAAATAATTACGTTTTTTTTAAGTGTCTTGTGCTCACCAAGGCTGCATTAATTTGATGAAAATTACAGTAAAACAGTAATATTGTGAAATATTATTTCAATTTAAATTAACAGTTTTCTATTTGAATATATTAAAAATTAAATTTTTGTCATTTTCATCAGCCATTCATCAAAGAATCATTCTAATATGCTGATTTGGTGCTCAATAACCATTTCTTATTATAAGCAATGTTGAAAAAAAATTTCTGCTTCACATTTTCGTGGAAACCATGGTATATTAAAGGGGTCATCGGATGCCCATTTTCCACAAGTTGATATGATTCTTTAGGGTCTTAATGAAAAGTCTATAACATACTTTGGTTAAAATTTCTCAATGGTAGTGTAAAAAACGACCCTTTTTACCGTCAAAATCAGCTCTGTTCATAGCAAGCCGTTTCCTTGCATGTTGCTTTAAATGCTAATGAGCACTGCTGACCCCGCCCTTCTCTTCTGTGGGGTGACGAGCAGACTGTAAACTTTAGCCGCATTTAGCTGCAAAACTTGCTAACTAGCACATTATTAGGAAAGGCGATTTGCAAAGATTCATAAAAAACCCTTATACTAACTTCTTCTGTAGGTGAGGCTGGATCACGGAATGATTCGCGTGAACTTAAACGCATTTAGGTAGATCGGGGGTGCATTCCCTTCAAAACGAAAGTAACGTTAATCCTCTGCGTCTTCAGCGGCTCAGATGCCGGGAGTAAATGACGACTGCTATGTTCATTATTACATCCAACAACAGAACACCTCAATCGCTTAATGGACCCTTTTCACAAGACCGTGATGACGCGTTTAACGGTAGATCCTCAAAGTTTTTCATATTTGTATTTTTTTTTTAAATGTATGTACATTTATAACACTATTCTTTGTATTATATCACCTTTGCATCAAATTACAAAAAAACAGTGCGAAGGTGTTTCTAATGCAGCGTCTATGGGAGGGATGGCAAATTTGACATCGTTCTCTCTTCTGATATTTTATTAACATTATTTAAATTGTATTTAATATTTTAAATAATAATTATACATTTTATAGTGTTTTCATGCATTTTTACATTTAGGACCTACAATAATAACGAAAGGCAGTAACAATTTGAACAACATTTTGGAAAGACTTCATTAGTTAGGGTAACGTTAGTTAACATGAACTAAGAATGAACAATACTTCTACAGCATTTATTGATCTTAGTTAGATGCTATTTACACTAAGTGAAAATAGCAGTATTTTCTTAGCGATATGCTATTTACACAGTGCAAATAGCACTGTTTCTGTTTCAAATTTACAGATTCTATTTACACTAAAAGCAGGATTTTCTGCTATTTATACTACTTATTGACAATAGTGGCAATTATCTGCAGTATTATAGTATTGTACATTATAAAACAGTGTGGAATAATAACATATTGAGTGTAAATTATAATTTTAATTCAAATGATTAGATGGATTCCACCTTATTGGGACAATAAAGCCCTCCCTACACCATACTCTACCCCTAGTCGATACGTTATTTTCAACTTTTCGATTATTTCCTTCCTTTTTATTAAAAATAAATGCCTTTCGAATGTGATACGAAAATTTAAAAGGGAGAAGAAAGCAGTTGGCAAAAGGCGGATCCGAACACGGGTTGTTCACGTCAAAAATCTACGTCACTGGAGCTGTTGTTTGCTAGCCGTCTTTTGTATTGTTGACTATCCCAATCACACGTTGGTGGGCGGAGTTAGTGTAAATAGCCTCTGTCAACAACGTGAGCTATTTGCACTTAGTGTAAATAGACACTCCGTAACAAAATACAACGAATAACAGATAAATTAACAGTAAACATTGAAAACAGTAACAGGATATTATAATCACTTTTCCAGAGTGTGACACAAACCACAAATATGCTATTTACACAGTGCAAATAACTATGGATTCTATTTACACTATGTTAAAATATTTATATAGAATATAGAATTTATTACTATAAAATATAGTAGCTATTTATACTACTATTTCAAATAGTGGCAATTATCTGCACCTTAGAATTGTAGAACATGATAAAACAGTATGCAATAATAACATATTGAGTGTAAATTATAATTTTAATTAAAATTATTAAATGGATGCCACCGTATTGGGTAAATATAAGCCTCCCCTACACCTACCCGATGTGATATGAGATTTGAAAATGGAGAGAAAAAAAGTTCGGTAAAGGGTGGGATCGAACCCAGGTCGATCACATCAAAAAAGACTTCGGCACGCGCTTTACTATCTGCACCACCGGACTTGTTCATTAACTATCGTCTTTTGTAGTCACCTTACATTGATGGGCGGAGTTAGTGTAAATAGCTTCTGCCAACTATTTGCACTTAGTGTAATAGACACTGTTTTTTAATAGTGAACTGATGTTCAGCTGTTCTTTTTAATAGTCAACTTATTATCGAGTCATCGTCATAAAAGCCCTGTAAACACTGTCACACGAAGACACGAAGATACATCTTTCATTTCATCACTTCATTCATTTTATTTTGACGTGACACATAGCAGTGATATCTAAGCGGGTGAGTTGTTTGTTTACTTAATATATAGTCAATAAAGCCATAATTTTCTTCATTCAGACCGAGAGCTCGCAGGAAAACAAGAGGCAGGATTTATCGCATGAACCAATCACATCCAATCATAACCGATCATATCCAATTATAGTGCGATGGAGACATTGCCTCCTCTCACGTGATTTTCCCCCATTTCATTCTCAAATTTTGCATCCTATGACCCCTTTAAAATTCAAAAACGTGGCCATACCATCTTATGGTACCATACTTATTAAATACCATCTTAAATAAGTAAATAAATGACTAAATGAAATTCAACAATATTGTCAATATTGACAGTTAAGACATTTATAATGTTAGAAAAGATTTCTATTTCAAATAAATGCTGAACTTTCAATTGATCAAAGAATACAGAAAATATGTATAACAGTTTCTACAGAAATATTAAGCTGTTTTCTACACCGACAATAATAAGACCCATTATTAATAATTAAGCACCAATAATAACTTGATAATAACTCATCAGCATATTCAAATGATTTCTGAAGGATTATGTGACACTGAAGACTGGAGTAATGGCTGCTGAAAATTCAGCTACACTATTTACACAAATTCATTACATTTAAAAATGCTGTAAAATAGAAAACAGTTATTTTAAATTGTAATAACACTTCATAATATTAACTGTGTAAGTGTAACTGTACTTCTTGAGCACTAAGGAAGGTGTGAAGGGCAAAACATGGCCTGGGAGGGTGCTTGTGTATGCGTGCAGGACAAGCATTGCATGCTCCGGGGAGCAGAGCAAATCCTGTTATTTAGAGACAAAGTGCATGTTGTCTGGTAACAGAGCATGCAGTGAGCACATCCGGTCTTATACTGCTCTCCTACGCTTAATAAACTTCTCTCCTTAGCCTACACTTCTAGAAACCTTATCAAAGCACTCAGGGATTGCCTGAAGTAACACGTGTTACAGCCTGGCTATATAACGTGCGCAAACACACACATAAAATTCACTGTAGCACAACTGAGAAAAAACAGACAGTGAGTAAGAGTGAGTAACTGCTTTCAGGGCTGATGTCTGTGACTTGATGTCTAGGTCAGGGGTTTTTGTACTTTTGAGGTTAAGGACCCCAAAATATGATGATTCCCTTGCAAAGGAGCCCTTTCTAAAATATATTCATGTAGACCCATATAGGACAATTAAACCATCTTTCAATGAAACGATGACTCTAAAGCTTTCAACCCTTGGTTAGTGGTCTACTAATTTTATGGTGCTTTATGGTGTTTCTGTGATATTGCTCCCACCTCACTTATATAGTTGATTCAATTATAATTAAAATGCAATGCCCCATCTACTAAGTTCAGTCACGGTTACTCTTAAGGAGAAGACACAGCTTTCAGATCCAGGTTCGATCAAGGACAGGTGACAAACGCCTTACTTCAAAAGCCTTTATGAGCAAGTTCACATATATCAGTATGACCTTCTAGCCTTGGATTTTTTAAAGTATTTGACTTCAGTACTGATCATACCACAGAAAAGTTTGACAAGCAAGCAAATTAAAAGTCACAAACACTTAGAATCTAAAGTAATTCCTTGGGAAACCAACTCATAGATGATTCTGTTCATTTCCATTTGTATCTTATGATTCTGGTGAGACTATTCCAGTCACGAATAGGAATAATTGTTAATAGCCATGCTTAAAATTGTCAGAAAATAAGGGAAGAGAAAGACAACAGCCAGCAGCAGCCCAACATTATTAGCAGTCCACATAGGATACTTCAGACCTACCGTCTTCCTTGGTACGGACACGCACAGCTGTGCTCTCAGGGCCGGGGCCCACATCGGTGTGCGCTCTCACCCACACCTGATACTCCGTCCACTTCTCCAGGCCCTCCAGCACATAGCTGGTGGCATCCGCTCCAATGTCCGGTACCTCATGGCGCTCAGTGTCTTCTCCGTTCACTGCCTGGTAGCTGACTGTGTAGCGCACAATAGCGCCGTGGCGACTAGCGGCGGGAGGTGCCACCCAACTCACCTTGATGCTGGTGGAGCTCAGACTGAGCAGGTGCACGTCTTGAGGGGGGGCAGAGGGGGCTGCAGGTGGGGGCAAGGCAATGGGAAGGGCATCAAGCAAAATGAAACAACTTAAAGGAAGCTCGTTTCTGGACTGAGAGGTTGGCACAACAATAGAGAACGTCTTACTTTGTGTTGTATTTTTGTCTAATTTCAAATTAGAATTCTAAACTGATTTCATACATTAGAAGCCATTTAAGTTAGAAAGTTTAAATCAAGCTTCTTGAAGCTTGGTTCACTATTTTTTATTGATTTGTTTTTATTTTATTTTTTTAAATACATTTTTGCTGTGATTTCAAAAACTGAAAAAATTTGTACTGCAAAACACAATCATCTACAATCTACCATAATCTAATGGTGCTAAGACACAACCAGGGTGAGATACTAACTTTTCTGTTCACCACCGTCTGTGGCTGGAATGTAAAAATGTTGACACTCAAATTTTTAATTATTTATTATTATTTATTGATTTTATTAATTTATTTTTAATAACTTAGTATGCATGTGAAACTGGACTAATGAACAAAACATTAAATCTTGATACTTTTTTTGGCAGCATTTGTTTACAATAGTATTTATTAAATATTGGTTTGAATAAGCTTAAGGTTGATGTGTTGGGTTTTTTTTTTTTTTTTTTTTTTTATTTAAAAAAAAAATATGATCTTTACTTAATATACTAATTATTTTTGGCATAAAAGAAAAATCAATAATTTTGACCCATACAGTGTATTGTTGGCTATTGGTACAAATATAACCGTGTGTCTTATGACTGGTTTTGTGGTCCAGGGTCACAAATTGTATAAATACACTACCACAAACTTTGGGGAAAGTAAGAATCTTTTTTTTAATTTTTTTTTTATCAAAAGTGACAGTGAAGACTTTTATATTATTACAAAAGATCTACTTGAAATAAAGGCTGTTCTTTTGAAGAAGAAATTTGAAAAATAAACAAATAAATATATAAATCAATCATTCAATCAATCAATCCATCCACAGTTTCAACTATTTTTTTTGTTTTACATTAGTAATAATAAGAAATGTTTATTGAGCACCAAATCAGCATATTTATATTATTTCTGAAGAATATGACACTGAAGACTGGAGTAATGGCTGCTGAAAATTCACAGGGAAAAAAATAAGTATTGTCTAATTCTATACTTTAGTAATTGTACAATTCTAATATATTTTAAATTGTAATCATATTTCACTGTAGTTTTGATCAAATAGATGCAGCCTTGGTGAACATAAGAGGCTTTTTCCAAAAACATAAAAAAAAAAATCATACCGACCCCCAAACTTTTAAATGGTAGTGTTTTTAACAGCTGAGTGTGTTGTTGTTACTATACAATCTAAGACTGATTCAAATGACCTGCCATTTAGCTGGTGCTGTGTGTTAATTTCTCACCCTGGTCACAGCGATCAGCAAGTCACAACCGTTTATTGCCTTTCTCTGTTTGGGTGTTGACAAGCAGGGGAAAGGCCATCGGTTTGTGTTTTAACAGGCGTTCACACATTCTCAGTCAGCCTATTGGCCGAGAGACAACAGCCCCCCGTTTGTCAGAGATCCAAGTGTCAGTGAGTGTGGCAGCTGACGCGTCCGAGAGCGTACTCCACCATTAAAGTGTGCTGCTAGCTTCTTTTGGCAGGCTTGGTGCCACTTCTGAGTGGCTGAGATAAGCGCAGCACCAGCAAGGCATATTTGATTAAGTCTGTGACGGATTGAGATCAGGTGAGCTACCAAATTAAATGTTCCTGCACAACACAACACAGTCCAGAGGCATAACAAATTACGACAACAGCACAACAACAATTTACAATGATCAAAAAAGCTAAATGGCATTCATTCATGCAGCTCTATATGATAAACATAAATGCGTAATAAAAAAAGTAACAATAATTAACTAAGGAAGAAAAAAGAGATGACAGAGGAATAAGAAGAACAAGAAGAGTATACACTGGGATTTTAACATGCTTGCATTCCTTTGTTAACAACCAGAGCAGTTTGGTGACGTCGCACCGTACTTGGCGCCCACAGTTGGATTGAGCACGAGGCGTCTCTCATCAGGCGGTCCTTAATCTGACAACTGTGGGAGAGCCACTACAAATGCCTGATGCTGCAGTAGGTGATAAAAATACTGCAGCCGTAGCTGAACATGTCGGCAGATTGTAAGGTTGTTGTTTTTTCGGGGGGTCCTGACACGAAACTCAGAGATCTTTTTGAGTCCTGGAGGAGGTGATAGACAGGTCTCTAGGAGAACATGAGGCTGTGAGAGACTCAGGGGGAAAGGAAGTACTCTGAGATGACTGTAAATGTTGTTATATATTCTCTGAACATTGAACATCTTTTGATATGGTTGGGATGGGCTATATGCAAGCAGAGCGTTAAATTTAGCACAAATGTGCTTCAGCTCCTTTTCTTGAGTAGGCTTCACTCCTCTGGCTTTTAACATTGCAGCGATTACAAATCACACTGATAGCCTATAAACCAAAATAATAATGAGTAACAAGCAGACACCAAACGTACCTTTCGCCCTTGTCATGTACTGTATAAAGGTATTCTCTGGCTTAGAGGTGTGAGAGAATTAATGGTGGAGACGGTAGACAATAGCTTGAGAAAGGAAGGTAAAAGAGGTCCCCTGGTTTGTCCATAGGGACAAGTTTAGGTTAGTTGACATGATAAAGACAAAAAAGAGGGCACTTACTGGACTGGGCGGTCCTGGCCTCGATGGGTTGAGTGAAGACCCCTAGCCCCATTTCAGAGCGGGCCGCCAAAGATAATTTATACAGAGTGTCTGGCTTTAGACCTTCAACAGCGTATGAGCCGGCAGGGTCGAAGGTCACATGGATCTGAAGAGAAAACATCACAATCTATAACCATCTCTTTACTTGGCCTTATAGACGTGTTTATTTTAAAGTCAAAATGACATGAAAATTCATGTTTTTGACCTTATTGTGAACAATTCATCCATGAATATGCTTTTTTTTTGACCTTGTCATTTTTAATTAACAGAGTCGGACTTCTCCAATCATTTAGTCTGCTTAAACCCGACCAGATTCGATCATGAGAAGAGAGAGATTTTGAGTAAATAATGGCTTACATATCAGTATGTCTTCACAAAGTATGAATTTACATTATTCAACAAAAAAAGCGATAACTGACAAAACATGCAGTTTTCAGTATTACTACTGCAGTATTATTTATCAGAAAACTTTTAACAGGTAATATTGTAAGCTGCTATTTTTTCTCTGTAAGGATCAGCTAAATTAATAGATCTACATATATTTTACTCGTTATTCATTTTAAGATTATAGGGAGAGTGCAGAAGTTTTTCACAAAAAAAACTGAGAAGCATTGTATTAGCATAGAGACACACTGATGGCTATCACAATGAGTGTGCATAACCCATCTGATCTCAGTGTGGGTGAACTGACATCAAGAAAACACATCCAAACAGTCCATTCTGGCATCAGTTAGAAATGCTGTCAAGCACTGTGCACTGATAAGTACATTCTGTTTTTGCACAATCTAATTCTATCAACTGACTGCAGACTTTGCCTGCAGTCATTTTGTGAAATGTCAATTTTGGCTATCTTTCATTTGTATCCATGGCCCACAGCAACAGCTGCACATGTTCAATATCTGGTCTGCTTGTAATTCTGAATGAATCAGGCAGAAACAAGCACTGGCGTGATACCTTGTTCTCTGAGTCAGCCTCCCAATATAGCAGCTCATATTTGATGATGGGGTCCTGGACTGGCCACAGCCAAGTTAGCTGGATCCGTGTATCCAGCTCTACTTCGGCCTCAAAGTTGGAAGGCTGAGCAGGGACTTGAATTTCAACAGACAAAGAGATGTTAGCAACAACAGATGCACAAGTATTTTTATGGTACTGGCATGACAATGCACTATGCAAAAGTAGGGCTGGATATTGATACACATTTCCTGATTAAATTAGATTCCAATTCAATTAAATTTCATTATGATTCTGATTCATTCGGGTACAATTTAGTCACAATGTCAATTTTGCTTCTAAACATTCTCTCAAAGCTTTTGCTGTAAATTATACGAAGAACCTTTAAATTCTGTATATTACAAAAATATGAAATAATAAATAAAAAATAACTACAGCGCCCAATCCATCTCTCCTGTAATATGTTAATATATTCCATAACGAGTAATGATAGTAATGATAACGATAAAGTAATGATAACGATGTTGATTTATCAGCCCCTCTGAATGATTCAGTTTGAATGATCCATTCATTTTTTTTTTTTTAATGCATTTAGCAGACGCTTTTATCCAAAGCGATTTACAGTGCATTCAGGCTATACATTTTTTATCAGTATGCGTGTTTCATGGGAACTGAACCCACGACCTTTGCGCTGCTAACGCAATGCTCTACCACTGAGCCACAGGAACATTAAAAAAGTAATTTGTTCATGAGTCAGACTATACTGGTTATGATGTATGATTGAATTCACAAAAAATAACCTGGCTATTAATGGAAGTTATTTGTTCATGAGACAGACTATAATAGTCACACTGTACTGTAAGTTTTTGATTCACTAAAAATAACCGGTTTAAAATAGTCACTTGTTCATTAATCAGAATACACTGTTCACATTGTATGTTTTTGATTCACTAAAAAGAACCAGTTCATACGAGTCCTTTGTTAAAGAATCAGACTACACTGATCATGTGATGTTATTGTATGTGACATGACTGATCAGTGAAAAAATATATTTATTACTCAGCCCTATGTAAAAGCACTGACGTATTATTCATTAACCCCAAACATTACCTCCTTGCTGTGTCTTGACTTGCAACACATCAGATGGGGGTCCGTCCCCTACAGATGTAAAGCCCAACACACGTAGGCTGTAGGTGATGTCAGGGGTCAGGCTCGAGATGGTTGTGAGACGGCTGTCGTCTGTGTTGTGTTTCTGCCAGGCGCTGAGAGGTGCTTCCAGGTCAGATGTGTAGTAGATGCGATAGCCTCTAATCTGACCATTAGGTTCCTCCGGTGGTTCCCACTGCACCAACATGGTGCTGGCACTCAGCATACGTGCCTGGACATGCAGTGGTGGGGAGGAAGGTGCCTGCTCACCTGTCCGTGTTTCAACTGGGTCGCTGGGTGGCCCACGGCCAATGTTGTTGACCGCCATGACACGGAACTCATACTCGGAATAAGGGCTGAGACCGCCGATGCTATAACGTGTGGTGGCAACACCATCCACTTCCTGGAAATTGGTGTCCGAGGACTTGGCCCGGTACTGGATAATGTAGTAAGACACAGGTTCAGGGTTTCCAGAATCCCATGTCAGTGTAACACTGGTAGCTGTGGTTTCCGTCACAATTAGAGACGTAGGAGGCTTTGGGAGTGCTGAAGAGCAAACAATAAGAAAGGAAATGAAACAGATGACAGCGTATGTAGGCTAAGCTGCCTACACGGTGCACTCCTAAAATAGAGTAAGACAGGCAATGTAAGACAGAATGAGAAAGAAGAAAGGCTTGCATTCTGATGATTCACAGAAAGACAGACCGTGCCGCCTCGTCATTGTGTCTTTAAGATTTGTGGCTGGACTCCAGATAAATGTCAGTGACATTCTCCGAGTCCATATTGATTGGTGAAGTGCAAAGTGCAATCA